CGTGCAGGGGGCTGGAGAGATAGTTAGGAGGTGGCCACAGGAGATGGGGAACCAAGTCTGAACTAAGATGACAGCCGGAGGGAGGGTGGGAAGGATGGAGCAATTCAGGTGGATTTATGGGTTGTGAACTTGATATTACTTTATTAAAAATCATGTGTGTGGGGCTGGGGTTGTGGCTTAGTGGTAGTGCACTTGTCCAGTATGCGAGTGGCCCCTGGGTTTAATTCCCAGCACCACATATAAATAAATAAAATAAAGGGCCATCAACAATTAAAAAAAGTTCAAAATCGTGTGTGTGTGTGTGTGTGTGTGTGTGTGTGTGTTGGAAAGTGTGTGGTTTGTTGTGTGAAGTTTGGGGAAGCCAGAAGAACAGGGCCTAGGAAGAATCCAGTGTTTTTAACTCAGGCAACTGGTAGTTAGTGATGCAGTTACCCAAGATTTGAAAAACAAGAAGTGGAAGAGCCGGTTTGGGGAGGAAGATAATGAATTTTAATTTTAGAACTGTTGGATTTAAACCATGGTTGGATTCATGGCAGTTAATGCTTTTTCTCAAACATGTAGTGAAAATGGTTAGAGGGCAACTGGGGAACAACAGCAAAATGAAAGTAGGAGAGAAAGAAGAGGAGCAGCCTATGGGGAACAGAGAAGTGGCCACAGAGATGTGGTGGGGGGAGCAAGAGAAACTGGGGTAGTGGGTGACTTAGAAGACTCTTTCCCAAAAGTAGAGATCCTTGGCAGTGCCTGGTGTGAAGCCTGAGGTGGCATGGAATGAAGACTGAAGAGGGCTTTGGCTGCAGGATAAGCTTGGAAAGCATTGTGTAAATCGGTAGGGGTGGAAACACCACCTGCCTCTTTGGAAGGAGAATGGTGTGGAGGATGGAGGAAAAGATTTAGATGTCTCTTTGGTGAGAGAAATTATCCCTGGGCCATAATTTGATGGTTGTTTACCTCAGCTTTCTGTCATTGTGACAAATAACCTGAGATACCTGAAAAGGAGGAAAGGTTTATTTTGGCTCATGTTTTCAGTGGTTTAGTCTATGGTCATTGGCCATGTCACTTTGGGTCTGTGGTAAGACAGACTATCATGTTTGGTAGGGGTGTATGGTGGACCCAAGTTGCTTACTTTGTAGCAGTGTGAAAGCCAAGAAAGAGAGAGGAGGGGCTGGGTCCCTATAGTCCCTCAAGGTGATGCTCCCAATAACCTAGCTTCCTGGAGATAGCCCCACCTCCTAAAAGCTCTGCTACCTCCCAGTAACACCACAGGCTAATGTCCAAATATTTAACTCATGAGCCTTTGGGGGAACATTCCAGTTCCAAACTGTAGCCGTGTTGTATCCCACTAAATCCCTGAAAGACACTAAAGAACCACGTGGACACCAATCCAAAGATTGTGTTTCCTCTGTCGTTCCTGACTTTACAATCCAAATCTATTTTTAGTGTTCATTTTCTCAAATAAATAGGCTTCCTTTAAGTCAACAAATTTGTCTAATTGAAAAAGTCAGAATAGTTTTGTACTTGATAAAACATAAGATTGACTCTGTTCTTTATTAATTCCCTTCTGTGGTGACATGAGAATCTTAATTCAGCAGATCTAGGAAAAATAAATCTTACTCTTATGCTGCAGATCATTTTGTTTTTCTTTAAAAATTTAGAATCTTCTGCTTCATCAGGCTAACGGTGGCCTAATCTTAGCTTTCAGTATATATGTGTGTTTAAACTGTACTTAATTTGAGGGAATTTGATTTTATTTTAGATGCTGCAATGTTGGAAGAGAACATCTCAACATCTCTTTTCTGGCATGGAGAGCTAAAACCACTTGATCAAGAATCTAGGTTTCCCCAGTAATTTATAATCTTGTYCCATCCATTGAAAAGATAATTCCCCCATTGTCAACTTGTGACACTCAGCTCCTTTGTAAGATGCTTACCTGCCATATATTTTGTAGAGAAAAATAAGGAAGTAGAAATCCTACCTGAAATCATTGTTTAGTGGCTGGGGTTGTGGCTCAGCAGTAGAGCACTCACCTAGTGCATGTGGGGCCCTGGGTTCGATCCTCAGCACCACATATAAAAAATAAATAAATAAATAGAATGAAGGTATTGTGTCCATCTACAACTAAAAATATTTTTAAAAAATCATTGTTGGATCATTTTATGTTTAATATAACCATAGCTATGTTCACATGCAAGGCATTTCAGAGATAATCTACTAAAAGAAGGCATGTGCAGGGGAGCTTCAGGGAGTGACACAAGGGATAGGCTATACAAGCAGGACTCCACAAGCCTTGTCCTGAGCTGTAGTTATAATACTTTCTGTATATTTTTTGGGGGGAGGAAGCAGCCTGAATAAGATTTTCATTTGAAAGTAGGGTTTTGAAAGTAAAAAAACTTGAAAATGAGTGTCATAGTGACAGAGAGAGGCTCTACCAAGCTCAGTGACATACCGATCACCTGGTTATTGACAGGAATGCACCTGTTATTGYCCACATGGCAAGGGTCCATACAACAGTCTGCCAGACTGTAACTATAGGTAGGTGATGTCCCCTGTTAACAGTTTGAGAGAGGTGGTTTTAACATGTTCAGAGACTTATTCATTTCCATAAGAACAGCCTTTAGTGGGGTGGTTCTTCTGATCTAATGTAATTGTGAATCTCTTCCCTCCGTGGCTCAGGCTCATTCTCCTTTAGCCTATATTTGGTAGAAAAGGCTAATTTTCACTTGCTGTCTCCCAGAGTATGTAGTTGGAGACTATTTAGTAAAACTCTATCCTGTTTTTTATTCTTCATGCTGAAAAACCTCAATTAGTGTTTTGAATATCTAGCCCATCGTTTATCTCTGTGTTCTTATATAGCAATAAATTCTACATTTTAATTGGCTCTAAGTCAGATTTTTTTTKTGTGTGTGTAAGCATGATCACTTATTTTCATCACCACATGTGAAGATGACCACTTTTTTCATTTAGTCACTCTAAAATTTAAGTGTACGATGCTTTTTGTTTAGAACTAACCAGTAATTTTTTCTATTCTTAGTAAAGGTTTTTTTTTTGTTTTTATATTCAGATTGGTATTCATGAGACTTATTATTRATGAATGTTATGACTACATCTGGACAACCCTATTTAAACTGCCTTTTGCAAAGGGCTTTCTGTTGAAAACTTTTCTATATTATTAGCAACATGTTTTTTCTTGCTAAAAAAAAAAATCCTGTACTCATTCTTGAATTGTTAGTAATTATTTCTTGAGAAAAACAATTGTGCCTAACTCATCTTTATTTTCCAAAGTTCTAAGTACTTTGTCTTGTACAGAATAAAGGCACAAACTGTAGAAAAAAAAATAATTTTATAACACATTTATGTGTCCATCTGGCATAGCAAGTCATTGATTCTTTATTCAGTGCCTTCCTTGTTTTTCTTTTTTATTTCTTCTTTTTTTTTTTTTTTTGTCCTGGTAAGGGGTATTCAACCCAAGGATGCTTTACTGCTGAGCTATATCCCCAGCACTTTTTTATTTTGAGACAAGGTCTTGCTAAGTTGCTGAGGCAGGCCTTGAACTTTTGATCCTCTTGCCTCAGCCTCCTTGGTTGCTGGGATTACAGGCGTGCACCATATGTCTGGCCCTTGCCTTTCTTTTAATTCTTAGATTCTCTTCCAAGTTTCTCCCAGAATGTGGTCACTTGAATTTTAAACTTGTTTTATGGGTGGAGAAACTTAGGCAAAAATTTTTATTACTTGCCCACTGGGCCCTAGGTTTGGATTTAACTGCCAAATTAAAGTGAAGAATGAGTAGGTTATCTTCTTGAGTCAAATAGCTTTAKGAAGAACTTAATAAAATAAGTTTCTTATAAAATACAGAACTGAAGGACTACTCTGGTAAGCTCATTATATGAAAAATCTATGTCTTTTTTACAGAGTAAAATATGTAAATCATAAAAGGTGAAGTTTTCACAATTTACTGAGTTTACTATAAAACTGAAATCTGGTTTAGAAAATGATTTAAGAAAGTCCTGGGAAATTTAAGAATTTAGGATGTGTTTTTGTGTGGTGAACATGAAATTACAGAAGTGGAAATAAAATTCTGCCTTTTGCTGAACAGACTATTATTCTTGGACATTTATAGGCTGATGTTACTTCTGTGAAGTCATGATCTGTCGCTCAGGATGTCTCATAGTGATCCTCTTGGCATCTTAGAGAGTAGGTTCTCATGGGTGATAGCATTGTGCATTTTGCAGCATGTGTAGCAGCTATGCTTTATCATCATGTCTTTGTGTGGCAGTTGAACAAACAAAAACGCCTTGTCAAATTTGAGATCCCTGCAAGGGGGATGGTAGTAGTCCTTGATAGGACACCACTGGTAGATGAATTATGTGTCTATAAACCACTTGAAATTATTCAGCTAAATATGGTCAATATTGGAGTTAGGTTTTGTTTTATTTATAAATATGTTATTATTTTAAACATAAATTTAGCTAGGTGTGATGGTTCATGTCTGTAATGCCAGTTAACTCTGGAGGCTCAGGCAATAGGATCAAAAGTTCAAGGCCAGCCTCAGCAACTTAGAGAGAGCCTGTCTCAAAATAAAATAGAGATGTGTGGTAAAGTGATCCTGGGTTCAATCCCTAGTGCCTAAATAACTAAATAAATAATGCAAATCACTATGCTTCATTCCTGGACAGCAAATAAGTGGTTTGTAAATTAGATTTTAGGCAAAAACCTATGATTTATCAATGACTAAGTGAATTATAGTAGTATACAAAGAAAAATATTTATTCTTGATAGATTTTTCTCTTATTTTAGCAGAAAAAGTAATAAACTTGGTGATACTTATATAAATAAGTATTTTATTATACTTTTATGAAGGCCAAGGAAGAAAGGATGAAGCTTTCAGTTTATGATGAAATAATTCAAGTGTGCTTTGTGTGCAGCTTCCTGTCTTGCCTGGATAGACTTTCCTCTGTGTGGGTGCCAGTGACACCTGATACCAGCGTTTCATGTTTTGTTTTCAGGATCAGTTCAGTGATATGAGAATCAGCATAAACCAGATGCCTGGGAACAGCCTTGACTTTGGGTTTACAATAAAATGGGATCTTTCCAGGATCTTTGTGGCATCAGTTGAGGAAGGTAAATCATAGATTTTACTCTACTGAACTGTCTTCTCCTTTGTTATCCTATCCTGGGGGGGAGGGGGTGGGTGGAAATTGCAGAAATTGGTTTGTTTGTTATAAGAGAAAAAAATATATTTACTAATTCATTTTACTAATGTGAAAATTCATTAGTAAATAAAGAAGATGTACCCTCTTCCCTGAGACTGTTAGTTGGGGTTGCAGATTCATACATTGTTTATTCCCATTTCCTAATTAATTTCAGTTTTGAAGAAGACTTTTTAYAGAATTTTTCAATTTTAAGCTTATTTTTTTGAAATGCTAACAAATAGAATTTAATTGCAGATTTTGATTGAAATTTTTATCAATAGCCATTATGTTTGTTATTTAGTGGTTTGTGGGATTGAACCCAGGAATTGGCACCTGCTTGGTGGGCACTCCACTACAGACCTACTTTCCCAGCTGAATGTGGTGTTTTTTGTGCATACTAATATATCTATTGTTTATGGAGTCTCGTGGAGGCAAAAGGTCTTGAGATATTTGTAAAGGGATTACCTCCTCCACCCAGGGTCATAACAAGTTAAACCCAGAAACTTTGCCAATTATTATTATAAGGCCTAAAATTAAAATGAGAGCTATTATATTTAAGAGGAAACCCTTGTTTATATACTTTAGCTACATAAAATTGCATGTCAACATTGATTTTTCTTTTGATTGCTTCAATTAGGTAGTGGTATTTTAGTTATGGTATTAATGTTATATAATATTAATTGTCCTTATTTCTTTCTGCTCCCTTCCAGAGAGTATCAGATGTGCAAACTCAAAGTATAGTACATATCACATTTAAAAATTTTTTAAAATAGTTGTACACAATACTTTTATTTTATTTTTTTATGTGGTGCTGAGGATCCAACCCAGGGCCTCGAACAAGCTAGGCAAGCACTCTACCACTGAGCCACAACCCCAGCCCACATATCAAATTTTTAACCTGAAAATAATTGAGACTTTCTTTGTCCTTAGGAGGTTAATAAATTTTATTGGATAGTGAACTTATCATTTCTCCTTTCAATATCAATGAAGATGCATACTACTAGAATTAAAAAAATGCCTTTGGTGCCTTGTTTGTTGTAAATACTCACCCCAAATATTTAATAGCTTAAAAAAAATCTAGTAACTCTTCTGCATCTGAAAACAATGAGAAGTTGTTAGTTGAGATTAAGATGTTATTTTTCCTTAATTTAAAGAAGCATTGACTAAAAGACCATAAAGGATTTTAAGACAATTGATTATTTAATTTACTTTATGTTAATTTTAGGTAGCCCAGCAGAATTTTCTCAGCTACAGGTAGATGATGAGATTATTGCTGTTAACAACATCAAGTTTACATATAAGGATACAAAAGAGTGGGAGGAAACCATGGCTCGTGCTAGAGAAACTGGAAACCTAGTGATGGATGTCAGGCGCCATGGGAAGTCTGGTGAGTGAGTTTTACTGTGTCTGGCTTTCTAAGATGGGAAACTGGTCTTTGGCAAGTGGTTGTAACAATTTGCTTTAATAACTTTGTATTTTTTCATTTTACTTTGTTGCTTAAAAGCGTCTTGTTTTTATGTTGGAACAAATCTTGTATAATACCTCTTTCAGTATGCTGTCTGAAAACTCTTCACTAGCAAACTTACTGAATTCTACATTATATGACTAGTTTATATCCTGATCGGACTGAATGCAAACATCAATTCAATGCAAATGTAACTGCATTTGGAGTCATTTGTAAGGATGTTGAATATTAAGAAATACTGTGCTTTAACTTTCTCTGCAGTAGCGTAACTTCACTGGTATAAAAGCATGATTGGTCATATTCCTATTATTGTTCTCAAAGAACTTTCAGTATACATTTTCTATCATTGTATTTCTGAGTTCCCAGTTGAGGTTGGATGTGAAAGGGCATACCTACCATCTTATTACATAAAATATAATATTTAGTCATGGTTTATGGAAAGATTCAATAAATTTGCTAGTCTTTTCATGACTAACATGATTTAACCTTTGTGTTTGGGAAGGTGATTCTTCTGCACACTACTTGATTTTTCTGTCTGTCTTATATATGTGTGTTTTGTATATGTGCATTTCAGTAACTTTATTCTTTCACTTCATCATTTATGTGATTTAACCTTTGTGTTTGGGAAGGTGATTCTTCTGCACACTACTTGATTTTTCTGTCTGTCTGTCTTATATATGTGTGTTTTGTATATGTGCATTTCAGTAACTTTATTCTTTCACTTCATCATTTATGTGTACTCATTTCTTGATCTTCATGTGCCAATCAGATTGGGGCAAAGACCAGCCTTCCCTGCCATTTATACGGCATAAAACCCTCAATCTCACCAGTATGGCTACCAAAATTATAGGTTCACCCGAAACAAAGTGGATTGATACAACTTCTGGAATTTACAATTCAGACAAGTCTTCAGATCTATCAGTAACAACTGATTTCTCCGAAAGCCTTCAGAGCCCTACTGTAAGTATTTTGAGAACTAGGAGTATACTACAGAGACAAAGCCATGATATAGATTATATCTGCAGAAGAAAATTTATTTTTTAAGCAATTTAAATTCCACATTTAAAACATAAGTAATTGAATAGGTAATGTATAGTAAAGAGAATAAAATGTATTTTTGAAAGTCATATGGCCTTACCCATTAATGGGGTATTATTAGTGACTTATGTAATGGTAAAATCAAAAGATCTCATAATGTTGTTTTGCAGGTATTTCTTACCAATCTTTCATCATTACAACAATCTCTCAGATCTCATGAATGTGAAGTAGCAATTATGTAAAATTATGCACTAGAACTTTTCTATATGTTCATTAGTCTTTACTGGCAAAGGGAATGTAGTCATTGTGTGCAATATAARACCTCATCAAGCATTTTTAGTTCTTGTGTGGGTGTATTTGATAGGTAGAATTATGTGTGTGATTAAGATATAATCAGTTCTATTAATTGATTCTAAAATTATGCAGAAKTTTTTTAGGTGTCAAATACTTTTTTATATAGGCTTTGAAAACAATGTGTCTATTTAGAGTATGAATTTTTCATTTAAATTAATAATTTAAATTTGTAACTAAAACTTTTACTTAATAGAGATCTTGTTACATTCTGAAGCAACAATTTAAATGTTAGAGATTCCTATATGACCATTTTACTTAGTTATTAAGTTAAGCCAAATGGATTAAAGACTATTTTGTCCACCATATTTCTTTTTTTTTGTATTCTAGGAAAACATTTGTTTCACTTGTTTATTTACATACGTATGTATACATAATAGGTAAAGTTTGAGCAAAAATGAATCAAGAATCCAACACAAAAAAAATAAAAAGAATATAACCTATATTTCTTTTTAAAATGCCAATAATCATCCAAGATACCTTGGACAGTAGCTACAAGCCAAGTTAGCCTTTTCCAATCATGGTTCTGATTGTCCACCATATTTCTTAGAATGTTAATGTCTGATTAAACTTAAGGTCATCCTTGCCTGAAGCTAGTCATTAGTCTTTCCACAAATAATGGAGGATAATGAAAAAAATGTAAGTCTCTGCTACATGTAAAAAGCTTTGAGGATCAATAGCCTTAAAACCAATCTTGTTAAAAGTTACTCTCTCTGATGAGAAATGCATTATTTAAGCTCAAAGTCCAATAGAAGAGAATATTAATTAGCATGTTTGTCCTTTCTAGTACACTGAATCCAAAGAAATCAATGGAATTCATGATGAAAGCAACACTATTGAATCAAAAGGTAAACATCACATTATCATTTACATCTGTAATGTAGAAAAAGTCATAGCTCCCAAGTTCTGCTATTCTAAAATTAATTTCATTGAGAGAAAAACTGATCCACTGCAAGTTGAAACTAGAAGGTTAGCACACAGATCCAATTGCAAACAGGTGGAAGGGCGTTTGATTCCAGCGTTAAATAGTTCAGGAACTGCAAACAAAACTTTAGCAGCATGTTCTGGGTCCTGTGTGCCTAAGCCAAATAAGAACAGGTTTTCCTGAGACCAGCAGCTTTCTGGCTGTGGCATGCTGGCAAAGGAAATCTTCATTAAATAAAAAACAATGAATAAAGTTTCCTTTTTCCTTTTATTGTTGTGAAAGAGACAAACTTGGACACAGCTAATCTTAATAGAGAACTGCCAATTGTAGTATCAGTTGTTAGTGGTCACACTCGTTATTTAAAAATAAAGGCACAATATCTAGGGAAATTTGGAGTTATCATTCTCTTTCTTTTTCTGCTCAGACACAAATAATTTAGCTATTGTACACCATGTGCCATTCTTCAGGCATACAAAATACACAACAAAGATCTCTCTGATCAACATGACAGGGAAGGATACCCAAAGAAGATGAAGCTTCATTTACCATAAAATCAGGCTGCCAAGAATGGGATGGATTTGTATAGTGTTTGTTAACTTTGCCACTTTATTGAACACTATGTCAAATCCAACCTAAATTTATAAATTTTCTTTCCCTCATTAATTATTTCTCTTTATATTTCATTTCCAATAGAAATGACTATATTTTAATTTTTTAAAATTTATTTTTTAATCAAAGGAAGTTTTAAAACAGGCATTTTTTTATTTTTCTTCCTGATACCAAATCTCTAAAGCGTCTTGGTCCTCTTCTGCCAGTGGCCCAGGCAGAGCCAACTGATAAAGACATCTAATGCTTTAGTGACAGTAGGACTATAYGCAGGCCCTGCCATTTGAAGATTTTGTTTAGAAAATAAACAGCAACCAGTATGAAGTAATAATCACATTTACATTTTATGCCATACTCTTGTCACAGATATGTGGGAGAAGTCACTGTTTTCTAATTTTTTTGATTGAACTTCATTTTGTCTAAGTTAGCAGCTACAAGATTTTGAAAACTAGAGCAAAATATTTTAGATTGAAAAAAAACATAATTTCAGCATTTGTTTTCATTTGATCTTTCTGTAGCTGTTATTTATTTTATTGTCCTCCTCCTCCCCAATAATTTTCAGTTCTTATTCATCAGTGTTATGAAAATTCTTTGGCAGAAAAAAATGTTGGATTGATTAACTTTAGCAAAATGTGTTAATTTTTATTTCCCTAAAGCTTTGTGACCTAGCACAGACTGTATGACTTTCACAGCAGTGAAAGTATGAATGTTGTCTACTAAAATTTATTAATGAAGATATTTTTTGTTCCTTTTACTAATTTAAATGTAATATAGACTACTAAAATATGTGTGTCTGTATCCCTTAAAATAATTCATGTCTTCTGTGGCTGTTAGTTTTGTCATTAAAAAAAAAAAATTGCTACAGATTTGAAAGGTGTGTCAGGTATCATTTAATTTACCAGTGGTGAGAAATTAAAATGAATGATATGGTATTTATTATTATTAATTTTTTTTATTTTCCAACTAGCATCTGAACCCATTTCTTTGAAAAACTTAAAAAGACGATCACAATTTTTTGAACAAGGTAAACCACAAAGCTAATAGTATGTTCCCTTTCATGGACTTGTTCTCATTCTCCATTCTTCTGATGGTCTGTGGTTCTGGGCACTGAGCCTCTTCAGTTTGGCTGTCATTATGACCCAGCAACATAACCCATTTCCATTCTTTCCCTAGGCTCATCAGGCTTTTCTTACAGTTCATGGGTCTACCTCTGTGGTAATGGGTCTTTGTGTGTCCTTTGTATAGCTATAAAGGTTTTTTTCTCTTTTAACTGATTAAAAAACGAATAAAAACAAAAAAACTGAGATGCTGTTAAACACACATGTCTTTCTACTGGGTGGTAACAGTAAGAAATGAGGAGTTTCATTTAAATCTTACTACTTTCTACAAATTGCATAATATTACACTACACCAACATACAATTGACCAATCTTTAAAAACTGACCTGTTTTTGGTTGTGAAAATGCTGTGAATAAAGAGTAGAATTATTTGTTGCTATGGGATGGTGGCTTTGGAATGTCAATGTGACTTCAAAGTAATAAATGAATTTGAATTGCATCTGAGGACAGGTGCATTTTGGGCTTCTTGATGTTGGTGTAGTTGGGCAGGGCTGTTTCACAAATACGTGATGCATGTGACATTGCCTCCCTTTCACGTTTGTCGGTTGCTCTGTCTCATGAATGCAATTTGAGCTCTGTTTTTTTGCTATGAAGAACTTAAAAGTAATGTTCAACATTCGAGATGCAACAGCTGGAGCAGATTGTGCTGTTGCTGTCTAAAATGTTATTCTTCCTTTTAAGATTACTGAAACAGAAACCTGTCTTATAACATGATACTGGACTTGTGTATATTGTGTTAATCACCTACTGTTCTTCCTTTGGTGGGTGAAGGTCACTTTTTAACCAGAAATAGCTTGCATGTCTGTTTGTGTCAGTATCCTTAGTGTTTTGGTTCATCTTTTAAATTAAACTATTGTTTTCTTTGTTTATTTAAGTGAAATAATATTATACTCCTACTCAAATTGGCCAAAATAAAATAATTCCTTTTGTATCTTGATTCTAATTTTGACTTTATTTTCTTCAATAAACTATTCTTGGAAGACCATTTTTCTGTCTCAAAGCAGTTTTCTTAAAAAAATTACAGAAGGAAATACTTTGACAACTGAGGTTTCAGGAAAATTTACAAATAGCGTATACTAATATATTTTCTGAAAGTTTACATTTTTATGATCATTGTATTATGTACAGACACATACTTATGTGGGCTCCTAAGGATAAAAATAATAAGAATGTGCCCTGAAGTTCAAACATGAAACTTGACTACTTGTTTTGCAAATGATAGTAAAGTTACATGTTCTTGAATATGTTGTAGTGGCATGTTWTTTTTTTTTTTGTAAATGACTTGTAGCTGTCATACTACAATTACACAGTTGCAAGTAAATAACTGAATTTGTTATATGTTATAACATTTGAGATTCTTTTTTTTTTCTGTTAGACCAAACTGTGAGATCTTTTATTTTTTTAGTAATAAAAGAACCCTAAAATGCTTTCAGGATGTCCATTGATTCAGCTCTGGTATCTGGAGCTAGTGTGTGCCTTTGGCACCCCTGGATAATCTTCTTGTTATTGGCTTTGAATTGGAAGAATAACATATGAAATTAAAGGGAAAAAAGGATATATTGACTTGTTTTAAAAAAGTTTATGTCACTTAGTATACTGACATAGGGATAGTTAGGATGTAACTTTCTGAAAGGAATTATTTTATAGAAACAAAAAGACTAATATTGTATTTTTTCCCTCCTTGCCCACATGCTGCAAAGCAGGAAGCTCTGACTCTGTGGTTCCTGATGTAAGTAGTATTCATTTGTAGTTGGGAATAAGTAAGGTGAGCTGGTGGGAACAAACTCATATGCAGTAGCTTTGCTTACATTATTTTCAGTTGCATAGGGTGTATCCTCCAAGTTGAGAAGAGTTACTTTGAAATATTAAGCTAGTTCTTCTCTGGTACAGTACAAAGCAGAGTGTAAGATGAATAATTGATATTTGTGAAAGTGGTTCAATAGATGACTTAATGAAACTCCATTGTTGTTCTTTGCTAACTTGTTAGCTTCCAGTTCCAACCCTCAGTGCCCCCAGTCGCTGGGCATGGGATCAAGAGGAGGAGCGAAAGCGGCAGGAGAGGTGGCAGAAGGAGCAGGACCGACTACTTCAGGTAGTGTGGGATGGCATGAGTGAATAGGAATTAGGCTTAGCTTTCATGGCTTCTTTCTGGTCCATGTCAACCAGTATAGAAAAGCAAATTAAAAAAAATAAAACCAACAGTTTCATCTCTATTGTTTTGTAGGTAGCACATTTTGCGTTAATTAGATTTCCATTTTGAAGATTTCCAGAGTTATCCTTTAAAAATCATTTTTATTAGCTTTTATATGTACTTTCAGAGTACATGAGGGGTGCACTCAGGAAAGGTAAATAGTCTTTGTGAGGACTTAGTTCTCCTCAGTGATTGACTAGGTTCGATACGGAATAATTTAGTCTTTCTCACAGCTGGAAGCTTTGAGGAATTATGTCCATGGTAAACGGTAGATATGCATCTAATTTGGYATATGCACACTTTTCTGACATCTGCATTTAGTTCCTTAAAATTCTCTGCTACTTTAGGGACTAAAATCTGGTTGGTTAAATGAAAATAAAATCATGTATTTAGAGGTTGAGGTTAGGGAGAACCAAAGTGTTAATGAAAGATTCTGCTTAAAATGTAAAGTTATTAAAAAAATGTAAAGTTATTAATATTGATTAATACACTGTGTTTTCTCACAGGAAAAATATCAACGTGAGCAAGAGAAACTGAGGGAAGAGTGGCAAAGGGCTAAGCAGGAGGCTGAGAGAGAGAATTCCAAGTACTTAGATGAGGTATCATTGAAACAGGCTGCTTACTTCCTTCTCTTTACCTGGTTGGTGAAACTAGCTGAGAAGCAAGGGACTCCTCATTTCCTCTGAGTTTGGCCACATGTTCACCTCTCTAGTTTTTTGAAAAAAACTGGTTTAGAGTTTGGCCTTGATGTTTCAATCTTTCTCTTAGTTTTTCTATTATATCATTAAATAATTATATTAATAGAACTTCAGTGCTTCTTCCTCTAAGTTATATCTCAGTCACTTGGGAGGCCGCCTTTAGCTATTATCCTAGCTACTCGGGAGGCTGAGGCAGAAGAATCGCAAGTTTGAAACAATTGGGGACTTAGCAAGACCCTCCCTGTCTTAAAATAAAATAAAACAAAATGACTGTGCAGTGGTATAGTGTGTGCCTAGCATGTGTGAAGTGTTGGGTTCAATCCTTATCCACCAAGAGGAAAAAAAATCAATGGAATTATGGGCAACTACAGTTAATACCTAAAAATTAGTATCTATGTATGTGAAATTATTGATACACAGATTGAGATGGATTTCTCTTTTCCACTGGTCACATAGGAACTGATGGTCCTAAACTCAAACAGCATTTCTCTGACCACACGGGAACCCGCCATTGCCACTTGGGAGGCCACCTGGAGTGAAGGGTCCAAGTCTTCTGACAGGGAAGGAACTCGAGCAGGAGAGGAGGAGAGGAGACAGCAGGAAGAGGATGTTGTTCATGAGGACCAAAGACAGAAGCTGCAGGAACAACTCATTCTTGAGAGAGAGGGGAAACTGAAGGAGCAACAAGCTCAGGAAGAACAGGAGAAGAAACGGCGGGAGGCTGAGGCTGAGGCGCAGAAGCACTGTGCAGAAGAGCAGAAGCGCCAGGCAGAGATAGAGAGGGAAACTTCGGTCAAAATATACCAGTACAGGAGGTCTGTCCCCACCACTGAATGTTGCACAAGAGTTTAAATAGGATTGGCTTCATTGTGTGCATTACACTTCAAAGCACCTTGTTGGTCTTCTGCTGCTACCATCCTTTCTCTGCACAAGTGAATGCAAGAATCCCAACAGAGCCTTTAGATCACAAATCTAATCATGTCACCATAATTCCCTGCTCAACTCTCCAGATGGTTTCCTGTCCCCTTAGAACACTGTCCAGTCCTCAGCATGGTACAGAAGTCTTATCCAAGCCATGTCTTGGTCCCTTTGTGTACCACTTAATGCCCACCACTCTTGCCCATATTTGTCTGCTGCAGCCATACTGGCCTCTATGTCCAACGTACTCTGCATCTGGACTTTTATATTTTCTGTTTCTCTGCCTGAAAATGTCTTTCCTCACCTATTTGTGTGGCTTACTCATTTTATTCAAATCTCTGCTCAAATGTCACCTTCTTAGATTTTCCAGAATACCTCATTTAAAACATATGACTCTTTCCTTCTTGTCTGTGTGCCCTTATCCTGCTTTCTATTATGATGTTGTCTCTCTGTTGGCCTGCCTGCCCCAGTAAAGTGTAAGTGCAAAGAGGCCAACAAATTTGATTTGTTTACTTCTGTAGCCTAGCCCTAGAGCAGTACTGGGGCATGGTGGGCACCCAATACCTACTTGTGGAATGAGTGATGTATGAGTAACCAATGTCTGTTGGCAGCAGAAGGAAAGTAAAGCTCAAAGTGATTGGTTGAAATACTTTATCTTTGGTTATTAATCCACAGACCATTTACATAAAGAGGCTAGAGTAACATTATTTTGTCTCAAAGTTTTATATTTTGATTGTAAGTTTTTATTTTTTGGTCAATATTTTAGGCCAGTTGATTCTTATGATATACCAAACAAAGAGGAAGAATCTTCAGGTTTTCTTCCTAGTGACAGGTGGGTAAAACATTTTATTTGTAGTAATTGGTTTCACCTAAATGGCCCCAGTTCTGCATAGAAACTATTTTGTAAAACTACTTTGCCCTTTGTCTTTTGTACAATACAAATAGAACTTGCTGGTTAATCTCTGTTATCAGTTAGCTTTTAATGTCTAACAACTTCCCCTAAACTTAGCGACTTATGATTTTGTGGGTCATCTTTCTGGATTGAGCTAATCAGGCAGTTCTTTTAGTTGACTGGACACCCTCATGTATCTGCTACCAGTTGGCTAGCAGCTGGGGCAATAAGAGCAACTGGGGCATGTGTCTTTCAGCATCCAGTAAGTCAGTGGGGTCTTAAGTACATGGCATTGGGCAGGAAAGAGAGGCTTAAAGAGGAAGCCTACAAGGCTTAGGTCTATGCTATTGTCTATAAAGTTGCAAGGCCAGCTCCATTTCATAGAGGGGAGGAGTCACATTTGCAAAGAGAAATGGACATAGGAAGAATTGTAGAATTGTGTCCTTTTACTTTCCTTTTTTGGTAATATACCATAGCTTTAAAAAAWATATAAATAATGGCTTCAGATTACCTAAAATAGGTTATATAAGGGCATATACAGTGAAAATTGTGATCTTTCTTTTAGTCTGTTTGGAACCAGTTGCTCAGTTTTGAGGAATGAAGATAAAATTTCAGATAACTTTTCAGATAAGTTTCTGAAAATGTGTTTTAAAACTTCCTAAAGCATTAAGGTTTAATGTTTAATGTAATTTTATTTTTTTATTTTTTAATGTAATTTTCAAGGTGCTTTGCAGTTATGAAATCATTAAGGACTTCTGAACAGAATTGGTCAAATAAATATCTAATGTAGGACCAATAGCTTATTATTGAAGAGATGAAATTCCTCCTTGGGGAAATTTGTTTTTATTTTTAGATATAAGGGAAACTTATAGGCAATCTGAATGACTGAAAAGGACTCAGAGTATAAAGGAAAAAGGAAAGGAATGACTAGGTAGGAATGGGTCAACAATAACTATAAAAAATTATCTAGTGATAAAAGACCTTATTTATAATGAATCTGAGTGTAAGTCATTAAAATGTTGATCCATCTTTTAGAACTATGTATATTTAAAAAGCTTTATTTATATAGCTTGTTACCTTGGGGAAAATAGTTACAATGAAGTGAAAGAAAACTTAATTCCAGAAAATATGAAATCCTCTAGACATTGCTGATAAAGCCCTAGAGGTATCAAGAAGTGTGGCTCTATACCTGGTAATAACTGTTTTTTTCCTTTGTAAATAAGTAAAGTTTTTCGAAGAATGTGTGTGTCTATCAGTTGTGGTACATTATTATGTATTATAGATTATTGCCCTGCGTACATAAGTATGTTGTATTCATATGAATAACACTACATGTTATTGTAAAATACTCTATATTATTTTGTGTTATGATTACTATTATTTTTGAAGCTCAGTGTGCTTAGTACAGTGAGAATAAAATTAGCATTTGTTGATTTATAGAACTAAAGTTAAACATTTTCAGAAGCTGCTATGCAGGTTGGGCATGATGGCACTCGCCTGTAATCCCAGCAGTTCAGGAGGATCACAAGTTCATAGCCAGCCTCAGCAAATTAGAGAGGTCCTAAGCAATTTATCAAGACCCTGTCTCAAAATAAAATATTAAAAGGGGATGGGGATGTGGCTCAGTGGTTAAATGCCCCTGGATTCAATCCCTGGTACCCCCCCCCCAAAAAAAAAAAAAAGAAGAAGAAGAAGTAGTAGTTGCTATGCAGTAAGTTTTAGTACCTGTTTGGAGTGCTAGGGTAGTGTTGAGTGAATTGCTGTTCTAGAGTAATCAGTGGTCTAATGCCTCAGAAGTTGAAATCATGATGTTGGGGCAATGTGGAATGAGCAAGATAGTCTGACTTTGGGTGACCTGATGGCAGATGCTTGGTAAGCCCAGTAAAATTAAGGTCTGGAAGAGTGAATGTTGACAAAATCTGATCAGTAATTATATTCTTCATTTTTGTATTAGAGAAGTATTATCACTTATTCACCTCTTCTTATCATTTCATTTTTCTGTTTTCTGCTAGTACACACAATATAAAAAATTCCTTGGTTTAAAATAAATATAGCTCTCAATAGGAAATAAATCAGCTTCTTTAAAAAACAGTCTTTTTGGTGTTCTTTATAAATATGAAAAAGATGTTCTTATTGAAATACATTTAATATGTTCTTTTTTTTAGGAATAAATCCAGATCTACTACTGAATTAAATGATTACTACACAAATAAAAATGGTAAATGAGATTTTTATTTTCAAACTTCTTCAGCTTGATTGTTTGTTTGTGCTATCACATGCAATGATCAGTATTTTTAAGGGCAAGATATTTCAGAATTCATTAAGATTACATGATTTAAATACTATTTTCAGTGTCTGCATATAATAATAAAACAACGACCCTGTGTTTATCTTGGCTTTATTTATAGTAGAAAACTACTTGGAGATTAAAATGGTTTTTAAATAGCTATTTAAATATGTGAGATATTGGTAAAATGATGCTGATGCAATTTTATTTAGTAAATTTAATTGCAGCTGAAGAAATGGCACAGAAAAGATTTGCAGAATAGATGAAAAAGTTGTATACAAATTTGAAGTTGTGTATTGAAATGCTAAAATATGAAAAAAAATCCAAAATGATAATGATTTCATTGACTCCACAAAAATAATTTGGAATCTGATCTTATTAGTATAAAGTTTTTTATTGTTGTTGTTGAGGTGTGGGGCCCCATCCTAGTTCCGGCATATTGTTGACATGTGGGAGCATGCAAGCCTCTCATTGCCAGCTTTTTCTTTTATCAAAAAGAGAGAGAAAAAAAAAGATCTGTTTTTTTACGTGTTTTCTTTTAACCATTGATAAGGAATTTTAAAAACTTTTAGATTCTCCATGAGCAAAACAACAATATCTAACAAGTCAGAATGTTCTGGTGGCATCTAATTTGTAGCCCCTGGTAAGAGCTTGTAGAATTTATAATTTCCATTAGGGGCTCTGTCATCATATTTTCCTTTGAATTTGTAGGACCTTCTAATATCTGGTCCTAGCATACTTTTCCAGTCTTTTCTGCTCTTTTCCCCTTTAGGAACCCTTAAACATAACCAGATTGTCTTCTCCTAATTCTGAATTTGTCAGATACTTTTTGATATGGTTCCTCTGGTCTTGGATCTTTTCCTATTTGGATTTCCCATTTCTTCTCCCTGAATTTGCCTCTAGCCACCATTAAAGTTATAGTTTAATCTTCTCTGAAGTACTTTTTTTTWAAAAAAGTTTTAACTACTTATACATGACAGTAGAATGCACTTTGACACATCATACGTAAATGGAGTATAATTTCTCATTTTTTTGGTTGTACATGATGTAGAATTACACTGGTCATATAGTAATATATGTAATAGGATAATGTCAGATTCATTCTACTAACCTTTCTACCTCTATACCCCTCCCTCCCTTCACTCCCTTCAACCTAAGTAGTAGCCATATGCTTTCCTGAGTGAAACTCATGATCTGTTAGTAACAGCAGATCTGACTCAGAAATAATATTGTTTGTGATTCTGGTTCGTGTCTCATCCTGTGTGTGTGTGTGTGTGTGTGTCTGTGTGTGTCTGTGTGTGTGTGTGTGTGTGTGTGTGTGTGTGTGTATTTTCTTCCCTTTATGAAGTTCAAGTTCCTGAGTGGCAGGCAGTGAAAATTATTAACTGTTTAGTGGAATAACTTGATTATACCAGTAAGGTTCTTTTAAAGTGGAAAATGTTTTCTTTAAAATTCAACCAAAGTGATAAGCTATGTTAAACTTAGGAGTATATAAGAAACCTTTGGTGGTTCTGCTCATTTGCTTACTGGAAGATGAAACTAAGACATAGATAAATAATGAATTTTGAAAGAATGACAATAGCAGTAAACATAGAAAAATAAAATAAATCCTTGGATAAAATTTTCTAATTGATATTAAGGCACAGATGATACTTCAGTGGATGATACTTCAATCTTAATGTTTTACCCAAATCRTAAATCAGTCAGCAAACCCAAGAGATAAAGCCCTTAGGATAAAACCTGACTTAATGATCATTAATAAATGTGATAATCCAAATTATACTTCTGTAAGTTCCTTAGAACAGAAAGAAGCATAACATTTATTTGGATGGTAACTATCATTTGGATGCCTGGGCTGTTTTTCCATTTCAGAGACTGAATATGTTCTTAGCCCTGCAGTTTGGTGACATGAATACTCAGGTCGGGTCAGCTAGAAATTCGTGCCTCTGTGGGCTTTCTTTTCCCAAGGGAGTGCAATTTTTTTTTTTTTTTTTAAAGAAAACTTCGTTTTCTTACACAGAGTTGTCATAGCCAGTGATCCAGTGATCCCATTCTGGCTCTTGCCTTCTACAGGCAGCCCCTGGGTGTCCCTAGTATGTTCTGTGTTGTGCCTGTGGGTAGGGAACTGGCATCTTCAGAAACAGGAGACAGGTGCTTTCTGTGTCATTGCAGCCACCTCATTGGAAGTTGATAATATGTAAGCATATGTCAGACGTTAAGCTGGACTGTCTTTGGAGATTTATCCACTGTCCTTTTTTATGTACTAACCCTGAAGCTTTTTGTGTATTTTTAATTTAGGAAGCAACAAATACTTGGACCGAATTGGGGGTACAGGCTTTTCACAGAGAAGCTCCAAGAAAGATTCAGCCCCCTCAGAAGCAGAGCTGGAGAGACAACAGATTCTCCAGGAAATGAGAAAGAGAACATCCCTTCACCATGACAATAGCTGGATCCGACAGCGTAGTTCCAGCATAAATAAAGAGCCCATCTGTCTGCCTGGGGTCATGAGAAGGTGGGAGAAGGTTTGGGAATTGCTGCTTCTTTGTTGTGAGGCAAATGCTTAATTTCTAGATGTGCTGGTGATTTGTTTGGACAGAAGAGATATCATAATTTCTTCTATTTACCTGAGGTCTGGCAAGAGGAAGACAAGTAGGAAAAAAAMAAAAMAAAACATTGGGCTCTATCCTATGTCGACCATGAGCCAGATGCCTTGCCTACAACATCTCATTTAATCTGGAGAAACTGGTTTGAAGTAGGGTAGTAATTCTGTGACTCAAGCAGGTAATATAGTTGGACAAGATGACATGGTTAATAGGTTACAAATCTGGTTCTAGAACTCTGAAGTGGGATTGGGATAATTAAATAAACACTTAGTGCTTTCTGGGCTGCCAAACTTTAAAAAAAGTATTGAAACTTCTGTTTATAATGAGATGATGATTAGATTGGAATTATCAAAATGGGATTTGCAAAGTGTGAAAAATCTAAGTTTTCTAACTTTAAAAAGTTAAGTATACAGAATAAATTAGAGATGAAAAGATGAATATTTTAAAAGATAAATCTTGGTAAACAAATCCTGCAGCTACTTTGAGTCAGTATTTCCTTATTTGACAAACTGGGCAAAGTTATTTTTAACACCCTAGAGACAAAAAGCTCATTTTCTCAGCATACAAAATATCTTCTTAAAAATCAGTAAATGAACCTTAATGACTATAAGAAAATAGGTGATTTGAGCAGGCGGTTTATAAGAAAAAGAAACAAAAAGCCAATCAATGTATGAAGATCAACACTATTCCCAAAATAACAATGATATGTCTCTTTTACTTAGGAGATTTGGAAAGAATTATATGATTGCTTAAACTTAGTAATTGTATAAGCAAATAGGAATACTTCCCAGTTGGGTGGATAGCTTTTCAGTGTGTATTAAGCAAAGTTTTATACATCTGAATTCAGTGAACAATTAAGTTTCTAACATTCTTATCTTCTGGATGTATTTGGATAAGTCTGCACAGATATATCCAAAATGATGAACACTTACACATTATTAATAATGACTGAAAAAATCACCATGTCCTCTGTGAAAAGGGTACTTAATAGTTGTTCAATAGGTAGTGGTATACCAAAAAGATAAAATACTATATAACCAATAAAGGAAGAGAWAGACATTGCTGCATAATATAGCACTTCAAAACCTAGTGGGTTAAAATAACAACTCGTTCTTTCTCTCTGATCTGAGGGTTGCCTGGGAAATTCTTTGCATGCAGTTGACTGGGGCACTTGAGCAACTGTAGTCATTTAGAGTAGGAGCTGGTAATTTAAAAAAAAAAAGTAGAATAACATTTTAAAAAGAAAAAATAAAGGACTAGACAGTAAATAAGTTTTGTTGGCTGCAGAGGTCTCTGTCACCTATTCTTTGTTTTCGAAATGACTCTTTGAAAAATGAGCTATATATATCTTGGCAATGGGCCGTAATTTGTTGCCTCTCATGCAGAGGGCCCTCTGAAGAGCTTAAGCCATAGCTAGTGGTTAGAAACATCTGTTTTTACCTGAGCTGCTCCACATAGCTGCCTGGGCTTCCTCATGGCATGGCACCTGGATTCAAACAGGTAGACTGGCCGAAGGACATACCCTAGTATGTAAGTCTTCTTCCATTCCATGTGCATCATGGCTGCTGATGCCTGTTGGCCACAGATCAAGCCTAAAGTCATTGGCAGGGACTACACAATAGAGTGGATTCCAGAAGGTATGGTTCCTTGGGAACCAGCAAGGTACCATCTGCCACATGAATAGGCATGAAGTTATATGTTAAATGGTAAATGAGTTATTGAAGACTGTGTTATAGCATTATCCCACTTAAGAATGTTAATAGGCAAATACCTTGCATGTGTATATAAACACATTTGTACTTCTGAAAATTTGATTGTATATGTAAATATTTGCACATGTGAGAAACATGTGAAGGACCTATAGTTAGCACGTTTTAGGGCAAGTGTGGTGAGTGAGGGAAGGGACCCTTGAAATCCCTCATATACTGTTCTGTGTTGCGTGAGTTTTTCCATGTGATATATTACTCTTATAATGTTAAATTTAAATGCATATTTTAAGCTTGACATATGAGAATATTTAAGAGTAATAGCAACACAATTGATAAGTGAGGAAAAATCTTATAATTTGCAATTAATATTGGTTGATCAGTATTAAGGTAAGTATACAACTTTAAAAGAGATTTTTCAGAAGGTGTCTTTAAGTCAGTTTGTGAGCTAAATGTGTTTTCAATTTAAGGGATTGGTTGGCAAATGCTTCTGGTAATGTGGACATTAAGCAGTTGGAATTTAGGGTTTTGGATGGTGAATGATTGAGCACTTCATGGAAGGCTGGTCTGTGTTATTTTGAAATCAGGGTGACTGGGTTGAAAGCTGAGTACCACCCTTGACTGGCTCTTAACTGTGGTCTGCTTAACTTTGATGAAATTTAAAAAATCTTTTATAGAATTGTGGAGATTAAGTTTAATACTGTTGTGAAAACATCTAGCCTAATACTTATCATATTTAAGTGCTTAAAATATAGTTTTGGATTGAATTTGAAAGACTGTAAAATTTATATGTCTAAACTATCAAAGATAATGGTTGTCTGTCTTACTGTTAGCTTTTATCTTAAAAAATACTTTTCTTTTCCACTTTGGTTGTACTTATTTTATCTAAGCACCAAGTGAATGAAGTAAAAGTGAAGGTTGATTGAAATGTGAAACCTCATGCTAGCTCTGATGATGAGCAATTTACCTGTTCAAGGTAATTTTCTGTGTAAGTGGTTGTAAATTAATACCTGCTTTAGAAATACACAGAATGGACCTTTTAATGGTTGTAATGATGTGCTGAATAGGTTTCTAGTTGGATTCCTAATGCTGTTTTGATGAGTCCTTTACATGTTTCAGAGGTGAGTCTCTAGATAACCTGGACTCCTCGCGATCTGCTTCTTGGCGACAGTCCCCTTGGCTTGGTCAGCCTGCAGGCGTCTATGCTTCTTCCTCTGTTCAAGACTTCAGTCGCCCACCACCTCAGCTGTTGTCCACATCCAACCGTGCCTACATGCGGAACCCATCCTCCAGTGTGCTGCCTCCTTCCGCTGGCCCTGGGAAGGCCACCACAGGTGGAGTCACCAACCAGACTCCTACCCCTCGCAGCCACTCCCCTTCCACTCCACAGCCACAGCCACAGCCACAGCCAGGCACTCAGCCCCGCAGCAGGTGAGGCCCTTTGTTTTTCTCCTCTCCTTCTCTTAGTCTCAGGGTTTTTTTAATCAAAATTTCCCCTAAATCTTGTTCAAGCTTTCAGTGAAAAAAAACAGCACTTTTGAATATGTCACAGTCAGATAGAGAAGACTTTCTTAATATCTCTTCATGCTACCCTAATAGTATTTATAGATGTCTCAGAAGTCAGTGGAGACCTTGAAGATGTCTACCAGTTGCCAGTGTTTTCTTGGCCACTGGTAGACATCTTCAAGACACTGACACGTGGTCAGTGTCTTGGTTGTAAGACATATCTGAATAGTCCTCCATGTGGAATCATAAAAACATATACTAGATCACAGATGCTTTTCCTATTTATGRGTAAAAGCAGTATTGTAAAATGTTTGGCTGTTTTAATGACACTGCAATACAAACTCATTTTATAGGAACTGAGTATAAGAGAAGACATTATAATCAAGTGTTCATAGTCTGGTGAGCTTTAACAACCTGGGTTTAAAAAAATATTAAATAGGTTAGGTCTTTGGTTTTTGGGTTTTTGATTGCCAGAATCCTTGCTTAGCTGTTATCTGGTTTGCCATCATTTTGTTCAGGCTACATCAACTGAGTTCCATAGTTCACATGGGGTAGGAAGTGTGTGAGAGTTTAATAGCATCACTAGCCACATGCCTTGTGCTGTGGAGTGAAGCTCAAATGTCAGAGTGGGTTTTGTTGTTAAATCTGCATAGTATCTCCCAGATCTTTTGTGTTTCGTGTAAGTACATGCTTCTGTTGTCACCCCAAGGGAATTCTGGCACATGATACTTTTTTTTTTTTTTTTTTAACAAATGGAACAATTTTTGAAGGTAGAAATACATTGATATTAAGATTTTTTTAACTATCAAAGAAGAGACTTTTATAAGGAGTCTTTTTATAATCCAATATAATGTTGCCTATGCCAAAATCTACAAAATGTATCTTAAAGAGATTGAAGTAAAAGAAAAGGGGTAAGGATTTATGATCAGTTTGTCAGCAGAGGCGAAATTTGTGCAGAGGAGAGGATCCATTTATTTACTGGGATCCCCACTTACCACATGCTAGAAGAACAGAGGTCAGAGGGATGATCATTGAGCTTCTCTTCCCCGAGAAGATCTCTATGGCCTTCAACATTGGACACTCAGCAGCTATGCACTGCTCAGCACCACTAAAGTTCTGTGCTAATACCTAGGGATGCAGAGGTAAGGAGGAAGTGGCTGTCACTTCAGCACTGCAAGAGATGAGACCTACATCCAGAAGTAAAGTAGAAACCCCTTCTATATGTAAATGGTAGCTGCCTGGYGGTATTTATTTTATTCTCCGCTGAGCCAGTTGCTTAGGCCAGAGACACAGGCAGGAAAGCACTGACACTTTGTTTAATTAGAAAATTGGGCAAATAAGAAAGAATCAAAAGTAGAACTCTCAATGCCTGTTGAGGGAAGTTGGGGCTGCTCTTCAGTCTGGGGTATGGAGTGACATGATTAGAGTTGCATGCTTTGGCAGGTTTAACTGGCATGAAAATGTAATGGATTAGAGGAGGGGAAGTATTGCTAAGTAGGTCTATGATCTAAGGAGAATGGTGTCATAAAGTGCCGAGTGGACTAATTACACTGGAACTGTTCATGTAGGTGAGTATTTGTCCGGGGTCCCAGAGCTGCCATGCAGATCATTCACAGTTACAGTATAATTGAGGCATGCTGTGCTTGTCTGGTAAAATTTTTCTCCCACAGATACATACAGCCTTCCTTAAGTTGCTATTATGGATGTGAATACCAGAGCGTGATTTTAAATATGAATCTCGTGTGTGCAGGTGAACGCTTCCATTCCGTTCTTGTTCTGTGTTTAGGTCAGTCAGTGGGAAGCGAGTGTGCTCCTACTGTAATAACATTCTGGGCAAAGGAGCTGCCATGATCATCGAGTCCCTGGGTCTTTGTTATCATTTACATTGTTTTAAGGTGAGACTGAGATAAATAGCCTGCAGGCCTGCAAAGCTTTGCTTGGAGAGCGCATGGCTTCTTTGAGCCGCTGGGTGTGGATGTGCCACTAACAAGCTAGGTGCTATATTTGTCCGTCTGTGCTTTATTGGAATCAAAGATTGCTTGCTATTACTTAGTTCTCAAATTTTGAATCTAGTCATAAGTGAATCTGGAAACGCTATGCATTTCCTATCTCTAATCTCTGAGAATTCTATAAATAAAATTTAGAGTGCATAAATGTTTAACATGCTATCATAGGCATACTTAAAATATAATTTACCAATGTTATTGAAGGCATAGGGACCTGAAATTATGACAGGGTCTAAAAGCTTACCTTGGAATAGGGAGAACAGAAAGGAAAACCATTGCAAATATTTAAAAAATTGCACAGCCTGCTTATACCTGACAGGTTTTTGTACACAAGAAAGTGCTAAGGCTGTGATTGTTTAGCATTGTCTGTCTCTAGAGACGTATGTATTTGATTCTTAGGCTTACTTTGGGCCAGAAGAAAGGCCCCCTGTTGATCCTGGATTCCTACATACCAGCTATGGACTTGAAATGTGTCCATAGCTGGCTTGCACTGTTCCTAGGCAGAACAGAATGACTCAAAATAATTAGTGTTTGAGCCTTGAAGGGAGGAGCCTGTGGGAACATTTGCCAAGCTAGTGTGGCAGGAATACTGGAGGTGGCTTCCCCAAGAATGGAGTGCCAAAACCCAAACTCCATTCACTTCAGCCAGTTCTTTTATGTGGTGATGTACCCTCCATTCCCCTGGGGGCTATGAAGACTAAATCTCCTTAAGCCAATTAGCAAATTATTTCTACTTTATTTGGGGCTGTATTTAAAATGGTCATCTTGGCTCTTAAAATTGACTCTATGAATTTTTTAATGTCCTATCTGGAAGAATTGATTTTAATCTACTAATCATGTCTTGGCCTTCCCCCCCCCCCCTCCACTTTTCTTTTTCTTTGTTTGAAATGTATCCAAGAGCTTAGAAGCTGCATTTTGCTTCTTTTTTTTTCCTTTACTTTTTTTTTCTGGGTGCGCCCCAAGCTTCCTTGAGCTAATTGTACATGGGTTGTTTTTTCTTTTTCCTTTCTCTCTCTCTCTCTTTTTTTTTTTTTTTGGTCTCCCAGTGTGTGTCCTGTGAGTGTGACCTCGGAGGTTCTTCCTCAGGAGCCGAAGTCAGAATCAGAAACCACCAACTGTACTGCAACGACTGCTATCTCAGATTCAAATGTAAGAGAGCAAATCAGAGAGAAAATTTCTTGTCTTTTAAGGAGACCACGGGTTCCCATGCATTTCCCTGAAACTGCAGCCATGTCCCCTTCAGCTTCACTGCCATAGGAATCTAGATTTTAGGGATCTTAGTTTATCCCCTTCGAAGAGGGTGTGTAGTATATGGTTCACTGCTTGGGGTCCAGCCACAAGGGTGGGTTATAGGGTAGTGGAACTGGAGAGGAACTTGTACCCAAAAGTCCAGACCCTGCATCTCTTGTTATCTGCATAGGGTCTGAATAACTCAAGGGGACAGTTAAAGCAAAACAGACAAAGTGACTGAGGGTTGATCTCTCCCCAATGGCTTGTTTTTATTGTTTAACAATGAGCTTTGTTATGTGGTTTAGAATATGACCAAATTTGCAAGTAATCATTTAGAGTACTGGAGAATATCAGCTTATCCTCCATGTTACTGTCTAATCAGATATCATTACACACAGCATTTTAAAAGAGCCTTAATTCTTATCTGACTATATAGTGTTTAGGTGTGATTTTTTTGCAAAATGCATTTTCCAAAACTTCAGATGCTGGTTGTGTCTAAGCATTTGTGTGTTATAAAATATAGGGTAGCATATTTGGGTTGTGTGTTGTTTATAGCTACAGCAAGACAAACATTAGTGCTGTGTATATTTTGAACCTTGATGCTGGTAACATGTTTCTTCCTTACTGTGAAGTGGTGTCACAAGTGGTATCAGCAAAACCATTTGCTTTTGAACTCTGAGGTATTTATATGACCCCTTATGTGAAGAGTGCTTTGGAAATAGTTTAAGCCCCATCAACTCTCTCTTATCTGTTGGTGGCTTCTGAGCCTTCTTTCCCCAGCTGTTCAGTCAGTCCTCCCTGGACACTGACGCTGAGGTTGGAGAGTGGCAAGGCTGGGCATGGCTGGGGAGTGTGTGTATGTGTGTGCCCTTTTCTCTCTTTGCTCCAAAGCCAAATATAATTGATTTTTAGAATCATTATTATAAAATTGCCCATGCCTTTTTTTTCTCCTTCAATGCAAATAATAGAGAGTTGAGTGTAATTTCTTTCTATGTCAGCAGTTCATTTTTATTCCATTTTTACAACTAAGGAATTCTGGAGCCCAGAGGCTGCGATTTGCCTAGCTTTATCCTAAAACTGAGTGACAGGTTACTCTCTCTACCTCACTGGGCCACTCTCTGAGTGATGACTGCTATGTAGCCCATGAAGCGATATTCACTCGTTTCTGAATCTAAGCACTTTTCTCTCTTCTCTCCTTACCTGATCAGCTGGACGGCCAACCGCCATGTGATGTAAGTCTCCATATGAAAGCACTGTTGCAGATAGAAGAAGAGGTGCTTGCTGCTGATGTAGATCTATAAATATGTGTCTGATGTCTTTTTTGCTCTTTTTTAAAAAAGAATAACTCTTCTTCTTTTTTTTTTTGCCTTATTAGATTATGTAGGACCATTGTAGTCTTGGTAGACCCTATATTTTTGTTTGTTTATTTATAAGAAGGTAATTTTGTGTGGGAAAAAGTGCAGTATTTACTTTTTTGAAGATAGCATCATAAAAGCACAAGGGAAAAAATAAGAACTTAAAAATATTTTTGAGGCTGATGATGATCAAGTTTTGACTATTTAGTGGTGTTTTGAAGAGGGTATTTTATTGTTTTTTTTAAAAAGTTCTTAAAACATTATTTGAAATAGTTAATATAAATATATAATTGTACTTGCTCTGTTTATTGTATACTAAGTTAATGTGGAAACAYATGAAAATTTTCATTTAAATCCATCCCTAAATTTGCTTTCTGTATCCTTTTTTTCCATCTATGTAATATGATTGAAAGAAATTTTTAGCTTATGTAACATTTTGTTTTGCTTGATGAGGAGAGCTCAGTTTTCTTCACCAGAACTGTTGCTAAGCAATTCAGTAGAAAGCTGCTTATTTTCGCTAATGAAAAATAACCATGGATTGTATCCTAGAAGTTTTCTTCAGAACCTAATGAGCCTTTCTGTTCAGCTACATTTGTAAATAAACTTGCTGATGCATTTAAGGAGTGGTCCTCTTTCTTGTGTGTGTCTCCCTTTCAGTCCTTTAGATCATATTTTGGTATATGGTCTTTCTTGACACTTTTATTTAGCAGCTTTACCAAGATATAATGCACATATAATAAACTACACATATTTTAAGTGTACAATTTGACAAATTTTGATAGTGCGTAAGCCTGTGAAACTATCACCCATAGTTTCAATGGTTTTACTGAAACATTTTAATGAGGAATGTTTTAGTCAGCTTTTTCATCACTGTGACCAAAAGACCTGACAAGGACAACTAGAGCAGGAATTTTTATTTTGGTTCAGTTTCTGAAGTTTAGACCGTGGTCAGCCAACTCCATAGCTCTGGGTCTGAGGTGATACAGAGCTTTATGGCAGAAGGGTGTGGTGGAATAAAGCAGCTCAGGACACAACAACCAGGAAGCAGAGAGCTCTGCTCGCCAGGGACAAAGTATAAACCCCAAAGGCACACCTCCAGTGACTTATCTCCTCTGACCACACTCTACCTGCCTACAGTTGCCACTCAACTAGTCCATATCAGTGGATTAATCCACTGATTACATTGCAACTCTCATAATCATTTCACCTCTGAACATTCTTGCATTGTTTTAAACATGAACTTTTGGGGCACACCTCATATCTAAACCATATCAAGGAACTTGATTTTTTGATAAAAGTTATATTTTTTAATACAGTAAATTTTTCTGGTAAGAGGTACTGTAGGTGATGAATTATTGGTTCATTTTAATAAAATCTTCACTTTTGTTGCCCCAGTAAATTTAGAAAATCTGAAGAGCAAAAAATATACTCTGTTTTAGTGATTTGGAGTTGGAATGCAAGAATATAAAACTTAAGCAAAAATATAAACAACTTGCTTGAATTCTTTAGAGTAATATAAGCAGAGTGGGTAATTCCAGGAAATGAGAACTGTGTTGGAATATGCTTAAAATATGTAATTAAGAAGTGGTAATGGGGGGAAAAATTAAAAATTTAGTTTCAGATTTTATTTTGTTAAGCACTTATTTGTTATTTCTGATTACTGAAGTAGTTATATTTATTGAAGAAAATTTGCCAAATGGTCTACAGTATGAAGAATTTATACTCTCAGTCCCAAACTCCAAAGAAAAGAGCAGTATTTAAAGTCAGTCTGCATATAGATACTTATAATGCCTTCTTAGTTAAACTGGATTGTGAACAATTTTCATGTTCTTAAAATCATTTCTGTTTTAGTTATTCTTTTTGGTGCTGAGGATTGAACTCAGGGCTGTGAGCATGTTAGACAAGCACTGTACAACCAAGCTACACCCCCAGCTCTCTCTCTATTTTGAATAGTTGCAAAGAGCTCCATTGTTTGGCTCTACTAATATGTAGTTGACAATTTCACTATTATGTACATTTTGGTTCCCAATATTTAAAAAACTTTGTATATATAATTATAGTACATAATGTAAATCTATTTCTAATATAAATCATATATGACCATGTTCATATCTATTTATTATTCTCATAGACTTGAGATTATGTAATTTAAGGCTCCCCTGACTCATATTGCCAAAATGGTTTCCAGTAAAGTGTTACCAGCTCCGACCGTCATGAGCAGTGTTTGGGCTTGTCCATCTCATGATATATTTATGAAGATGAATTTCTACTGCCTTGTGCTCTGCCTATCATATTAGCCCTCAATATGCACTAGTTAAATAAACCACTGTTTCCTGTTTCAGTTTCTGCCTTTTTGCTCTTCACTGCCCCCAGTGCATGCTTTAATTCTTGCATCATGATTTTAGTGTTATTCARTGTCTTTTCTGACCATTACTCCTTTTCATCTAAGCCTTTTAAAAAAATATTTTTTAGTTGTCAATGGACCTTTATTTTAATTATTTATATGTGGTGCTGAGAATTGAACCCAGTGCCTCACACATGCATGGCAAGTGCTTTACAACTAAGCCATAACCTCAGCCTTTTCATCTAAGCCTTTTGTGTTTTCTTTTTATCTTGGAAATAGAAATGTAGATTTGATTTTTCTTCTCTGTTGTTGTGACTTTTCTCCTCATTTCTCACACTATCTTGGTTTACGATACAAGTTTTGTTAGTACAAATTGTTAAGTATGGTTTCTGAGATTTTCTTTTAGGATACTGGTTCTTCAGTATCTTTGTATTATTAAGGCATAAACCCATTAGTATTTATTTGTCATATCATTGAAGAATAAGGGAAGATTCAATCATTCAATAAATTTGTATTCAAACTTTGTGTCAGGCATTGCTTTGGGTACTATGACTAAATACAGCAGTGACTAAATTCTGACTGGGTTCTATTTCTCTTTGAGGGAGATGATAAACCAATATGTGAAAATAGGATGTACAGGTGGTGAAATGAATAATGGAGAACAAATAGCCAGAGTAAGAAGGATCCAGGTATGGATCATGTGGATGGGCAGAGGACAGCCTCTTAGACAGTAGAGACAAAGGAATGAGTGGGCAAACCATGCACATCCTTGAAGGAAAAGCATCCCAGACCTGGGGCACAGCAAGTACCAAAGTCTTAAGGCTGGAGGTTAGTTGGTGTGTTCATGAAACAGCCTTGTGGTTGGAGTGGAATTAGTAAAGAGGTTTATAGATGTGGGGAGGGAAGCCCAGACAGCAAGCCATTGCAGGACCTTGACTTTTATTGTGAATAGTATCAGAAGACATTGGAAGGATTTGAGTGAAAGAGAGAAATGAACTGACTTATGCATTAAAAGGACTACAGACTACTGTGTGAACCAGAGCTTGCAAAAGGATAAAGGTAAAAGCAGGGAGACCAGTTCAAAGAATACTGGAATTGTCCAGGCAAAAATCGATGTTTTCATCAACAGGGTAAAAACAAGGGAGATGGGGTAGAAGATGACGTGGGGTGTGTGTATGTGTGTGGAGTGTCTGTATATTGACATTAAGCTGACAGAATTTAATGATGGATTAGATATAGCATCAGAGAAAAAGAAAAGCAAAAATTACTCAAATGTTGGCTTTAAGGAGCCAGAAAAATGAAGTGGTCGTTTTCTGAAGTGGAGGAGATTGTGGGTGGAGTACATTTTGAGTAGTGAGGCAGGAGGCCTACTAAATATCTATATGGCTTTGTTGAGTAGTCAGCTGGCTATGCAAGTGTGGAGTTCAAGGGAGAAGCCTAGACTTGAAATAGAAATGTAGAATCGGTGGTGAGTAAATTGAATTTTCAAGCTGAGAGTCAGGAGGACATCACCAGTATTCTGACTGTAACTAGAGTGGAGAAGATGTTCAAGGACTGAGTCCTGATATTCTTCAGCATTATGAATCAGACTTGTAAAAATGTGTCCACTCAGCCAGGAAAAGAGCCAAGGCTCCCGTGCCATGGAAGCCAAGTCAAGAGCATAGTTCAAGAACAGATAATCCTGTGATAACAAATGTTTCTCAGAGACTCAGTAAAATGAGGAAGAAAATTGACAACCAGGAATCTCTGATGGGCTTTTTCCCTTGTCCTGCATGTATTGGTGTTGGTGGACTGCCCTTCTCAGAAAGTCCATGTGAGCCCCTTCCCATATACAATACCTAGCCCATTTTCTAGCATCTGGCAGCCTTTAACTCAAGGACCCTGCTATTTTTGCCTATTTCCCCAGTGATTTGAACCTGAAAGAGAACATGGAAAGTCATTTCTCACCCACTCAGCCAGACTGTGGCACACTTTCTATCTGTACCCGCCTTCATACTAGCAACTGGAATTGCACTTCCTGATGTGTTATATTTCATCTCAACATACATGGAGTCCTACCCTCCTCTGTGGCTTTGTGGAAGGGAAGATATTTGGTTGAAGCTACCCTGACTGCTTCAGGATTCAGAGCCAGCCAACTGTGTGGCATTTCTGCTCTGATGTGTTGATACTCAAATTTCTGGTCTCTTAGCAAAGATATAGGCTGTTGTCATGCTGCTACATTTCACGCTACAAATAAGCTTTGGCTCTTAAATGATGGTTCACAATTCATGCAAGTAAGAATAGTATTAAAAAAGCTAAATTAAAAAGATAAAGTATTAATCTTTGGTTAACAACCATCTTTGGGGCAAGAAAACAACTTCTGGATTCTTTCTTAGAAAACATGTATGTTGTATGATGAATACAAGGCAAACCTTACATTCATGAAGGAGAGGCACATATCCAAAAGATTCTAGAGACCGGAACTATGAGAGAAATACKTTGTTTAGGAATCCAGGAGTCATTTTAACTAAGGGAGTAGAAGTGACTTCACAGTTGATGACACTTGAACACATCTTTAAAGGCAGATAACCGCTTAACAGAGCATATGGGATGATTTCCACATCCCAGTGGTTCTCCCTACTCCATGTTCCCATCAAAACCTTCCATAGTTTGGCCTGTTTTATGGAAATATGAGCAGGGGACTAGATACACTCTGTCAGATAATGTGTCTGGGAAGTGGCAGTTATCTGACCCAGTACCAAAGAGAATTAGTACCCCAGTTCAAGGTTCTACAACACAGCAGCAGGCACAACAACTTATTACCTATTGTATAGGGGCTGGGGTTGTGACTCAGCTTGCCTAGCATGTGCAAGGTCCTGGGTTCAATCCTTGGCATCACATAAAAAAATAATTAAAATAAAGGTATTGTGTCCCACTACAACTAAAAAATATTTTTTAAAAAGAACTAGGAGAAGAATTTGATAGTTTCAAACACAAGGAAATGATAAATGTTTTAAGGCCATGGGAATCCTAATAACCCTGACTTGATCATTATACATCAGATACATGTACCAAGTTATAACACGTACCCAGTAAATATGTATAATTATCATGTCTAGTSTGCTTCAGGTCTGTTTCCCTAAATGTAGCCAACTGGTCTGGGGGTGAGATGGAGGCAAAAATGTCTTTCATTTTTTGAGTTCACATAAGGTACAGGAAGTTGTAGAAAGGGTCTAAAGAACTGGATCAGGCCAAACTCACACCTACTTGTAGAACTGTCTTCCAAAGAAAC